TCGGATCTGTATTTCCCGCGCAATATTTAAATAAGTCTGCGGTGCAAAGTCGACCTGAAGTGGTGGGTTTTCTTTTGAAAACTATTTTCAGTCGCGGGACATTTTACAAATCAAAATAAATGTACGAGTCTCACTAGCGCTCTGTTCTTCCAAGAGATCGGGAGAGAGGGGGCGGTGTTTTGCGTGTTGTCGACCTGCGAATGCAGACACGATGGCTGGATTGCGTTTACATTACACTGATGGCGCTTTTCCACTGCATGGTACGGCACGGTACGGTTCACTTTTGGGGGGTTTTCCACTGGGTACAGTACCTGGTACTTTTTTTAGTACCACCTCGGTTGAGGTTCCAAGTGAACCGTACCGTTACCAAAACGTGACGTGTAAACTCTGCTGATCACGGATTGGCCGGAGAGAATCGTCACTACCTGCGTCATTGAACTTGCGACACAAACACAAAAGAACCACTAGATTTAAATCAGCACAGCCAGCGAAGGATCGAACGCAACTGTTTTGAACAAGCGCACCTTTTATAACAACCAAAAAGTGACTGTTTCGTTGTCTGTTGAGGAAGTACAGACATTCCTCTCGTTGATAGCAGAGGATCGGATCCAGCGAGCTTGATGGGGTGACGCGGAATGAAAAAGTTTTTCAGGAGTCGCAGCAATAGAGGCTGCGCAACTATAACGACATGTGAATAATCCCGCCCACTCTAAAGCCGTACTGAACTGCAGTGGAAACGCAAACCGAGCCGTGCCGTGTCGTACCGTACTGAGCCGAGTCGTACCACGCAGTGGAAAAGCGCCATGAGATCCGATCACAATGCGTCCTCGACTACCTCTGGACCAGGACACGCTGATCGGATAACATTCCGATCAGAAGCGCGTTTACACTTGTCTTTTCAAAGTGTATGTGGACAACATCCGGATACAGGTCGCATGTTAATGCCAAGTGTAAACGCAGCCTCAGTGATTCTGTTTTTTGTTTTGTTTTTTCTTACATGTTGGTGTTATATCTTTCACTTTGATGTTCTAAGTTGTACTGAGTAAATACAGCTGGATAAAACAAAAACTGTGTCCGTCTTCATTTCAGGCTGCGAATAAATAAATATTTATTTTAAAAAATATATTTTTTATGTGGGGAGAAAACTCCAGCAATGCTTGCTTACAGTAATATTACAAGAATGTATGAAAAATAATGTTTCATCTGGATGGAATTAATCTTGATTCGACTGTGATCCCCAGGTTGGAGCCATCTGAACTAAACTGACTGTTAAAAGTTTTTTTTTTTTTTTTTTACATATACACAACACATATTTTGTATATACAACCATATTCAAAATATATAGTATAACATGGCCAAACTGTCCTGATTTGGAAAAAGACATTCAGAAGCTCATCCAAATGGCTGGTCTAAAATAAACATTTCTCTGTTTAATACTGATACAGTAGCCTAGTCTGATCTGAGGTCAGTTTGTAGAGGCATCTAGAGAGATGCCTCACTTACACAGCTGTGCCGTAAAAGGATACAATCTGTCCCTAATCCAGTGCCCCTCCCCCACATCTCCCTTTCTTCCTCCCCCCTCTCATAGCATTGCCTTCTGTAAATCTGAGTCAGATTTTAATCTCAACCATGGTGGATTAGAGAATCCATTATGTGCTTGTTGGAGCAAGGCTGAAAAGGCACGGCTGAGCATCAGGTGTAAAAGACTCATCAAAGAGGTGGGAAAAAAAGAGGTGATGAATAATGCCTGAGGGAGGGGAATACTTCCAGTTAAGGTCCATATGTTTACGGCACGTGCTTTAAATGATGGATTTAGGAGGAAAGTGCAGTGTATTTAGAAGCTGAATTTAGCGGCCATCTTAACCTTTAGCATTAGTCTGTTAAACAAATAGCGATTTTGGTTAATTTCACACTCATTTACAAACATAAATGTGAGAAATGGTTCCAAAGAAGTAAATCAGGAGACAGTGAGTTAACAAATTACCTCTGACAGCCCAGGAACATGCAAATCATCATTAGCTTTCAGGTACAATCTGCAGTCGCAGAAAAATCCCATTATCTTTGTACGGTATTAGCTTGCAGGTTACCTCCAAGCTACACATAGAGAGCTTTTGCAACTCTGAAGTACTAATATAAGCCTGTAGCAACTGCAGAATGTACCTTTAGCAGCATTTTATGTCTACCATGTCCCATAGATGTAATTAAAATAAACCAATTTAACCAAACCCAAATGAAGGCTTTGATTTCCCAACAACAGTAAGTATATGTAGTTAACATTTGCTCTTTGTTACCATTATTGCAGCACTAGGTACAAAAAATATATTTTATTAGGCTTAAATGTGTGGAGAGAGACTGTGAGGACTTATCTGACCAACAAATAATGGAGTTACAATACATTGTAAACTATCCCAAATATTCATGATTACAGTTACATAAGATTAAACCTAAAACCTTTAAAAAAATAGTTTGTTACTTGAAATAAAAATACATAACAAAATAAAATATATATAAAAAATAAAATAAAAAACGTAAATTATATGTTTAACTTGATATTAAAATAACTAAAGCTGAAATAAATTTAATAAGAACTATATAGACATATTTAAAAACAAAAATGATAATAAATTATTAAAAAACCCAAAATTATTTTTGTACTAAAATTAAAATGAAAACAGAAAATATAAAATGGCCTAATGGTTAGAGAGTTGGACTCGTAACCCAAAGGTTAATACCAAGACTGAGGCACCCTTGAGCAAGGCACCGAACCCCCGACTGCTCCCCGGGCGCCGCAGCATAAATGGCTGCCCACTGCTCCAGGTGTGTGTTCACGGTGTGTGTGTGTTCACTGCTGTGTGTGTGCACTTAGGATGGGTTAAATGCAGAGCACTAATTCCGAGTATGGGTAACCATACTTGGCCACATGTCACGTCACTTTCACTTTCATACTAAAATAAAACTGCTGATATTACAATTTGACCCTTCAAAATGTCAGTCATTTGCATGTCCGTGAATCAGGAAGGTGGCAAATGTGCAACTTCTAATGAATATACTATCAATTATTGAGCACCATATTCAACAATTAAAAAAAAAACAGAATATGCAGAGAATCTTGAATATGCAGAGAAATTAAACTGTTTTATATCAATTATTTACATCTTATTTAACTCTATCATTTTATGTGTTTACATCTCTCAGATCTATTTATATAGGTGACCTGATTTACTAATTACATGCTATTTTTCAGCAGTTTAACGACTCGATTACAAAAAGTGCTTGTACTCTCATAGTAAATCACAGGCCAGATAAGTGCAACTCAATCTCTCTCCTGCTCACTTCACCATCTCTACCTGTGATCATGGCTGCCGATCAATGAGATTCCAGCTGTGAAGACAATGTCACATTCACTAATACAGTTCATATACTTTCAAGTAACATTGGATCGATGAACACACGTTTCTTTGGTCACAATTGCACACTCACACACAACTCACTTGTGGCCGATGCTGTTCCCGCTCCCTCCCCGAGCTGCTACAAACTTCTCATCCACTACTCCAGACAAGTGCAGAATCTATAGAGAGAGAAGGACCATTTAACACTGCTCGCGCAAACGCACACACTTACACACAGTTCTCCTCCTGGGTCGGGACAGAGTCTGTCACAGCCCTGATCCTGACACAGTGGGTCATTGTGTGAACTGTCATTTGAGGTCAGGAGGCAGTTGCCTGGTTTGTTGTGTTAAAGGGGTCATATGATGCGATTTCAATTGTTCCTTTCTCTTTGGAGTGTTACAAGCTCTTGGTGCATAAAGAAGATCTGTAAAGTTGCAAAGACTAAAGTCTCAAATCCAAAGAGATATTCTTTATAAAAGTTAAGAGTCAGCCACACCTACCTAAAACGGCTCGTTCTAACACGCCCCAACATACCTACATCGCTCTGTGGGAAGATTTGCATAACGCCGCCCAAATGTTCACGCAAAGAAAGAAGGCGTAACTTTTATTCTCACTGTAGTATTGTTGCCGCCGCCATATCCTGAAAACGCTGTGTGCTTCTTTGTGAAAGCGAAACGATATTGTTTGGTCTTCCAAAAGAGAACGATATCCGCTTCGTCATGCCTGGAGCTGATCTGTGCTGGTCGCTGAGGAAATACAACAGTATGGTGAGGGGCGTAACATTTCCGTCTCACGCTTGAGGTATTCGGCCAATCACAACGCACTGGATAGCTGGCCAATCACAGCACACCTTGCTTTTTCAGACCGATGAGCTTTGTAAAAATCGACGCGTTTCAAAAAGGCGGGGCATAGAGGAGAAACAATAATGTACAGTATGTGGAAAATAATGTGTTTTTTTAACTTTAAACCGCATAAACACATTTCATTACACCAAATACACAAAATAATGTTCTTTTTAACAGCATCATATGACCCCTTTAAGTAAAATCCACACCATTTCTGCTCCATTCACCTCTTCATGTCACAAACTTAAAAAAAATGAATTCTTTATAAAAGTAATACATGATGATGATGGTTTATTGGCATTGTATTTGCCATCTGACATACATAATGATGTGACATTCATATTGTTTGAATATGATGCACATAAATAAACTTATGCATTCATGAATTAATATAACAGGTGTGAACGACCATGAAATGTATTTCTTAAAGGAATAGTTCACCCAGAAATTAAAATTTGCTGAAAATGTACTCACCATCAAGCCATCCAAGATGTAGGCCTATGAGTTTGTTGTCTGAATCAGGAGAGGAATATGCAGAGATTGAGCACCATATACAAGCAAAAACAGTCCAAAACAGTTCTAAACAAATATGTTGTTAGATTTTGATGCAAGAGGACAACAGGGGATGGACTTACTCTGAACCCAAATTATGGCCAGAAGTGTCGATTTGAAGTTAAGATGCCTTAATGATACATTTTCCCTTCACAGCTTTTCCCTTCACAAGATATTAATTGATGGACTGGAGTCATGTGGATTATATGTGGATTATTGTGATGTTTTTATCTGCTGTTTGGACTCTCATTCTGACGGCACCCATTCACTGCAGAACATCCATTGGTGAGCAAGTGATGTAATGCTAAATTTCTCCAAATTTGCTTCGAGGAAGAAACAAACTCATCTACATCTAAGATGGCCTCAGGATGAGTACATTTACAGCAAATTTTCATTTTTGGGTGAACTATTCCTTTAACAGTCTATTAACAGGACTGATGTCAGGTGAACAACTGGGATGTCCAGACAAGTCAGATCACAGAGCATTCATAGGCATTTTCATTTCAAGTGAAGAAGTTGGAGAGTGTGCTATGCATATTACATGACAGATAAAAATAGGTGCCCAACACATACATGTTGAATTAAGATGGATACTCGAGCGACTGTGTAATTCTGCAAGCTTCAGTGAATATCTGGGCCATTACTGGAAACTTTCTGAACATTGAACATGTTACTACAAAAAGGCAAAAGTTATGCAAGCTTTTAAAGAAAAAATCCTGGAAATATTCTGAGCATTAAAACGGGTGCACAAAAAGACATAATAATAAAACACATAACAAAAGATTTTATCATTTCATTTTTTTTTTCTAAAATTACAAAGATATGCATCAATTAATGTTTGGGTGCACCAGCTATTACGAATGTCTCTCTAGTCTATCTAGTCTCATAAAGAGTGGCTGGTTACCTGGATTTGCCAACAGCCTAATGTCCTTCCCACAGCCTATGCTGCTACAGCTGACATCTCAAGAAAAGCTTGATAATTAGTGAACTTGATGGAGCACACACACACACTCGTCTCTTAACAAAGGGTACGGCACATCCCCCTGCAAACCCCCCCTCGCATGAAAATGTAGGTCAGTTTGTATGAGGAAGTGTCCTGCAAATAAGAGGATTACACCGATTGTGCCAAGTGTTACAGCAAAACAAATAATGAAAAGCAACAACAACAATTCTCATCATGGTATCATCATGTTAAGTATACAGTATGTTTATTCTATTAAAAAGGAACAATATCTACCATTTTCATTTGTGTTATTTATGCTTCATATTTTTGTACAATTTTTTCATTGCGTTAAGGGCAAAGTTTAAGTAAAAATACAATACAAAATTGAATAGTATTATACTAAGTTAAGAATTGTGTGAGAGAGAAAAAAAACTCACTATAGATTTGTCAGATGTTTTGACTGTGCATTTGATAATATGTAATTTTTAGATAAAACCTGTTAAAGGGGACTTACAGTATATTTTCATTTGTATAAGTTAATGTATAAATTATAAATTTCTAACATACAAATGACATTAATTATGCAACAGTGATCAACACTGAGGATCTGAGATAATGTAGCAAAAATAAAATGCCAAAAAAGAGACAAAATTCTATTATGAACACTAAAGACAATTAATTGGCAAGACAAAATAAGTGAAATGTACTGTTAAGATTATTAGGTAAAATGTATGAATTAAGAATGAATGAATATAAAAATGAATAAAAATTGTGGAGGGATGAAAATAATAAATTGCTCTAAAGTTTCCTGACATTGTGGTAATTGAAGCCACGCCCATTTGGAACCCCAAGTCTTCTGCGTAATGACGTAGCGGGATTCCCCGGTTACTTCACAGGAAATGTTTACACAGGCAGATGTCCAGGGTTCGAGTAGGACACTGCGTAATTATGAATTAAACGAGAATTTTACACTCCGAGTAGCTATCAGACTGTACATTTAAGCAATATTCGTGGGTTTTTCACATTAGAAGGATTTTCAATTGACAAAACAATTGTTTGCCTTTAAAACAACACAACTGAGACCGACAGAAGCTGAAATGCGCAAGGACTCCCACCATGTCCTCTTCCTACAGAATAGCCTACAAAATCTCGTTTCACATACAGTCAGAAAAGGAGACGATCGCAGATGTACGCGATTAAGATTTATTTATGGAGTTGCATGACATAGTCATTTTTAAACATGTTTTAATTCCCACGGGATATTTTTTTCGAGCTCCGCTCCAACAAAACTGCAGCGCGGGACGTTTAATCAATGGATGATACCAGCAGATGAGCAAAAACAGATCAATATCGGCAGAACGACTCAAACAAAATCTATCCTGGCAAACGATTATCAATAATATGTATTTACAAACTATATTTCTTACAGATGTTTTCACACGCGCGGCCATTTTTGTTATTTATTCAAAGCGCACAAAGCAGATAACCTGTTTCACCTGAACCATGACAGGACACTGGACAGATAAGGACAGACACTCAAGTCACTGTTCCCCCATCAGTGACTGAACCTGGTGCTTTCCAAACACTCACTCACTCACACACACACGCTCACACACTAAAAAAGGACAGCTGGGGGCTGGACTTCCGAAGGCAAAGTAATTTCTACCCAAATGTGGCTCTTCCCAGCACATATATGTTACTTTTAAATGAAACACAACTTGCTCCGATCCGCATTTTGCAAATAATGCGATCTATGCACTCACCTAGGTTGTTCCGAGTCCTCTCCAGTCGTCCCGGTCAGATATTCAAAGCTTTCAGTAGTCGTGGGTCCCGTGGCTAACTATTCGGACACACACAATGCCAATCAAACGCTAAGCCTCACCTTTCGTGTGACGTCTGTGTGAATGGACCAATCAGAGCTCGCTCTGGGTTTACGCCTCGCCCTCTCGTGGCAGATTATGCTAGTGGTTGCATTGTTTAATGCGTTTTAACAATGCAAGAGAAGACCCGGCATGTGTGGGTGTTTTATTTAGTGAATGAGCATGAATGAAGTTTAGCGTTTTTTACTTATGTGTATAAACATATTAGAATGACTTTTATATAAGAATTTATATTACCCAATGACTAAAATAGACTACACAGGGCAAACGATAAGAATCAGGGCGATTGTTTTCCCATACAATTTGCATTGTATTTAACAGGCAAATTGTTAGTAGGCCTAACTATATAGCTCTCTTTATATCTCTACTGTTTATACCCGTTATAATATGTAATTTGACAGAATCAGGTAGGCTGCATAAAATTAGCAAGATTGTAAAAGGGACAGCTTTAAGAAATGCCAATAGTGTCCAGCTGCAGACCCGCAGCACCAGCAGTTTCAGAACCACAGCCACAGAACCGGAAGTGAGGGGCGGAGTTATTGACAACGAGAGAGCACGTTGAGTAGTCTGTAATGTTTTTGCTATCATATGTTTAATAATTATCGTATATATTACGTTAAGCATTTATCTGCTAAGTACTTAACGTGTGCTTGGCTTTATTATCTTATATTGAAACTTGAATTTGTTCTGAATCAGAATCAGAAGAGCTTTATTACCAAGTATGTTTACACACACAAGGAATTTGACTTGACGACAGGAGTTTCCAGTGTAGAAGAAAGTACAAACATAGTGCAGACATACATAGGAATAACACAGTAGGGATGTAATATAACACTAATATAATAAAAAATAAAAATTGAATAATGTACTATATACAGAAATAGAAGTATAGGAAAAAATGTAATTATTTAGATAAATGTACAGATATGTTTATTCGTGTGCAGATATGTTATTTACAAAGTGTGCAGTTTAATATAAGTATATGTTAGTTGTGATGGACGATGTATAATTATGAAAGAATTATATTATATATAATAATTATATTTATATTATATAATAAATATTATATATATATTGTTGTCATACTTTATAGTATATAACTTGTTTCTGTGGATGTTTCGATTAATTTTCGGATGCATGCTGTAAATGGGCCTTGTGGTGAAGTTTTGAAGACGTTTATTATTCATAAAAATAAATAGCTTGCTTTAATTCCCTCTGGTATATGCATTGTTTGTGTGTTAATATTACCTTGTAGTTTAGTTATTTTAATCCCAATCATTGAGATAATTGTGTGTGGCTTCATCTCTTGTAGAGACATATAAGGATTCAGAGAGTTGACACATTACCTGAGCTGCAGCAGTGCAACAAGTGTTACAGCAATTACCAGCAATTTTCTGCTTGACCAGCATGTTTAAGCCAGCCAAACTGGTCAAATTAATAAGTCATCTTCAAATCCACTTCAACATGCAGTTGTCTGTGGAGGTATGAATATCTTGAGTTGTTTGTTTA